TCGCCCCGTCCGTCGCCCGCGCCCCCCCCTCCGCCTCGGGCTCCGCCCCCTCCGGCGGTCGGGTCTCCCGGGCGGTGCCCTCGCCCCCGCCCTCCGCCCGCGCTTGCCCTTTGCTCGCTGGTCTTCGGTCGGTCTTCGCTCGCGTCCTGGGTCCGCCTTCCCGCCCCTTGCCTCGGCGCCCGGCTGCTGCCGCCGTTCGGCGGCCTGGCCCGCTCGGCTGCTCGGTCCCCCCGCGCCTTGCTCGCCCTTGGCCGTCGGGCGCCCCCTTCTTCGCGGCCCTGTCTCCGGCGTCGCCGCCCTTCTCTCGCCGGGCGTCCCGGCGCTCGGGCCCCTGTCGCGCGTGGCTTCCCTCGTCCCCCGGTCGCTGGCCCCCTTCCGGCTCGGTTCGGCCCCCCCTGCGCTTCCTGCCCGCTCGGCGCCGGCGCGGTCCCCGTCTCGCTCTTCTCCGCGCTCGGGCTTTGCGCGCCCGCTTCGGTGCCCTGCGCTCCTCCTTCCGCTCCTCCCCGCCGCTCGGCCTTCTTCGTCCCCGCCGCCTCCCTTCCCTTTCCGCCCTCCCTTGCCGCCCGGTCCCGCGCGCTCGGCTCGCTTGGCGCGGCCCCGGCTGCGGGCTGCCCCCCGCCCGGTCCCTTGCTGGCCTTCCCGCCCGGTGGCCGGTGGTTGCCTGTCCCGCCTCGCTTTTCCTTTGGCCGGGTTGGGCTCGCTTCCTCTCTTGGTCCTCCTCTCGCCGCGGCCCTTGCCGGTCTGCCCCGCGCCTGTGCCCTTGGTCGGGTTCCGCCGCCCCTGGTCCTTCCTCCTGCTCTGGCCGCCCTCCCGGCGGTCCCGCGTGTGGTCGGCTCGGTCCCGCCTCTTGCCCCGCCTCTCCTCGCTGTCCGCTTCCCTCGTTCGGCCCCTCGCTCGCGCCGCGCCTGTTGCCCCTCCTCTGGTCGGTCGCTCCTGCGTTCCGGCGGCCGCCCGGCCTCCCTCGGTCCCCTCCCGCCCGTCCGGGGTCCCGCCGGCTGTCTTGCTCTCCGTCTTCCTGGTGCCTCCTGCTCTGCTGCTCTCCCTTGCCGGCCTCCCTGCCGCTCCTTCCCTCGGCCCCGGCCGTCTCGTCGCCCCTCTGGTGCCTGCTCGGTCGCGGCTCCGGGTCGCGCGGCCCGGCCTTGTTGCGGTCCGGTGCCGTCGCTGCCCCTCCTCCCCGCTGGGGGCTTCGGCCCCCGCCCCTCTTTGCCCCCCCTCGGGCTCGCTCCCCGGCCGGCTGTGCTCGCTCGCCGCCCTCTTTTTGCCTTCTTCTCTGCCCCCTCGCGGCGCTCGGCGCCCGGTGTCGTGTCTTTCTGCCCGCCCGGCTTGCTGCGGGCTCGCCGGCTCCCTTGTGCCCGCTGCCCGCTCGCTCGCTCCCGGGCCTGTCTTCGGGCCCCCCGCCCCGCTCTCCGCCTCCTCCCGGCGTCTGGCCCCCCTTCCGCTCGGCGCTCGGGGGTGCGGGCTCGGCCCCTCTTCTCTTCCTCTCCGGCGGTCCTCGGCCCGGGGCCCTTCTTCTCTTTCTTCGGCCGGCTCCGGTTGCTCCTTCCGTTCCTTCGCCTCCTCCTTGGCTCTGGTGTTCCCCCGGGCCGCCGGCCCGGCGTCCCGTCTCTTGCCCGCTCGGGTGTCCCCCTTCCGGGCGGCTTGGCCCTCGCCCCGGCCCCCCCGCCCCCCTTGGGGTGGGGCCTTTCCTGCCCCGGTGGGGCCTCGCCCTTCTCCCCCCGCTCTTCCTCCTGGCGGGTCGGCCCCCGCTCCTGTTGTGGCCGCCCTGGCGGTTGCCCCCCCCCCTTCCCGCTCCGTCTTGCTCGCCTTTGGCGGCTGTGCCGCTCTCGCCCGGGCGCGTTCTTTTTCCCTCGGGGTCCTCCGCGCCCCGGTCCCTCCTGCCCGTGGTCCCCGCCCGGCGTCCGCTCCTTCCTGTCCGGCCCCGCTTCTCCCCCCGTCCCCGTCTCGGCCGTTCCCCTGCTGCCCGTGTCCCCCTCCCCCTCTGGCCGTCCGTCCCTTTCCCGTCCCTCGTGCCCCCGCGCGCCTCCCTGCCGTGGTCCCTGCTGCTCGGTTGGTCTTCGCGGGTGCCGGTTCTGGGCTCCCTCTTCTGCCTCTTCCCGGTCTCCCGGGCCTCCCCTCTGCGCCCGGGCCCTTCGTCCGCGGTCGGGCCGCCTCTTCCCGTCCCCCCCCCTGCCGTGGCTGGTCGGCTTTCCGGCCGGCGGCTGCTCGCCGGCGGGTCCGGGTCCCGTCGGTCCTCCTGCCGCTCGTCCTTCGCTCGTCTCTTCGGTCCTGCCCTGCCCGCTCGCGCGGTGCTGGCGCCGCCTGTGCTCTCTCCGCTCGGTCTTCCTCTTGTTGTCCTCTCTCTTCCCCCCCCCTTGTCCCCTTTCCCCGCTTGCGCCCTCTTCCCCCCTTGGCGCCCGTGGGTCCCCTCCTCCGTGTCCTGCCCGGCCCTCGCTGGTCCGCCCCGTGCTTCCTCTTGTCCGGGCCGTCTCGCTCGGGCTGGGGGCGTTTGCTGCGCTTGCCGGCCTGGGCGTCCTGCCTGGCCTCCGCTGCGGCTCGGTTCCCGGCCGTCCCCTCGCCCGGCCTGGTGCGGGCTCGGGGCTGGTCCTCTCCCGCTCGCTGTTCCGCCCGGCCGGCCGGTTTCCGGGCCGCCGCGCCGCCCTCCTGCGCGCGCTTTCCGGCCTTCGCCTCGCCGGCGTTGGCCTCCTCTGTGCCCCTTCGCCGGGCCTCCTCCTCCGTGGTCGGGGGGTGTCGCTGCCTCCTGGCTCCCCTCCCCGCCCGGCGCGCGCTGTGCCGCCTGTGGGTGGCGGTCGCCTCCGTCCCTGGGCTCGCCCTCCCCGCCCGCCGCCTTCCCCTTTGCTGCGGCCGTCGGTCCCGCTTTCCCCTTCCCGCTGCTTGGCCTTCTCCCGCTCCCTGTCGGCCTTCCTCCCCCCTTTGGCCGTGCTGCCCTTCCTCCCCCCTTGCTCGCCCGGGTCTCCCCTTTGTCGCTCGCCCCGGCTGCCCGGTTCGGCCCCCTTCTGCCGCCCGCCCGGTGCGCGGTCGCGTCGCCGGCCCTGCCCCTCCCGGCGTCTGCCCCGCCCTTCCGCCTCCTGTTGCTGTCCCCTCCTTCCCGTGGCGCCTCCGGGTCTGTCCGCCCGTCGTCCCTCTTCTCTCCCGCGCCCTTTCCGTCGCGCGGGTCCGGCTGCGCCCTTCCCGCTGCTGTGCCCGGCGTCTGGTGCCGGGTCGCTTGGTCGCCCGGGGGTGTTGCCGGGTCCGCCTTCCTGCGCTGCGCCCCTTCCGCCTGGCGGTTCTCGCGCCTCCTCGGGTCTCGTTGCGCTCGGCGGCTTGCGCGGCTTGGGCTGTCTCCCGCGCGCGTCGCCGTCGGTGCGCTCTCGCCCCGCTCTCCCCGGCTGCCGCCTCCTGGCTCGCCTCCTGCCTCTGTCCGTCTTCTTGCCCGCGGTTCGGGTCTTGGGGTCCCCCCGCTGGCGCCTCTCCGGTCGCCGCCGCTCCCCGCTCCCGCTCGGGCCCTTCTTCCGGGGTCCTCCGCTTGGCCCGGCCTGCTGCCTGGTGCCTCCCTCGCCTCCGCCCCCCCCGCCCCCCCCGCGCCTGCGCCGCGCGTCGCGCCCGGGCTGCGGCCTGCCGCTGCGGCTCTCCTGTGCGGTCGGTTGTCCTGGCGGGGCGGCGGCTGGCGCGTGTCTCGCCGGCGTCTCTGGTGGCTCCCCCCCGGGGCGTGTCGTCCCTCGGTTGGCCTGGCCCCTCCCCGTCCGGTGGCGGTGGGCCCGGGTCTGGCTCCTGGCCGGGCTCCCTCCTCGGCTGCTGCTGGTCTGGCTGCCCGGGTGTTGGGTCTCCCGGTTGTCTGTCCTTCCCCGGCTGTTGGGCGCCGGGTCTGTCTTTGCTGGCTGCGGTGGTGCGCGCTTGCGGTTGCGGTCCCTCGTCTGCCCTTGCTGTTGGGTCGCCTGGTGGTCGGCGCGCTCGCCGCCTCCGCCTGGTCGTCGGCGCCGTTGTTGTGTGCCCCCGGCTCCCTGTTGCTCGCGCTCGGGTGCTCGTCCCGCCGTTGCTTTCTTGCCCGGGTCCCCCCGCCGGCGCCCCCCTGCTCCTGCTCCTTCTCCGTCCGCCCTCTCCCTCCCCCGCGCCCCCTTCCCGCCCGTCCCTGTCTTTCTTGCTCCCGGTCCGGCCCTCCGTCCCCTCTCCTTGGTTGCTCTGCGTCCCGCCTGCCTGCGGTCGGGCTTCTCTCCCCCCCCTCTCGCTCGTCCCCCGTCCCTCCCCTGTCGCTCCTGTGGGTCTTTCTCGCCGCTCTGCCGGGGCCCGGCTTCCCGCCGTTCGGCCTGTCCTCCCCGTCGCCCCCCCGTGTCCTCCTCCCGGGTGCCCTGCCTGTCGCTGTCCCGCGCCGCCCCGTGTCCTTCTTCGTTCGCTCTTTCGCCCCCGGGCTCCCGCTCGTGGGTCGCCCCCGTCGCTCGGGCCCTCCCGGTCGTCTCCCCGGGTTCTTCTCGGGCCGCCCGCCCTGCTCCCTGCCCGCCCCGGCGCCCCGCGCCCCCGGCTCCTCGGTCGTGGTGCCGCTCTGTCGGCGGGCTCTTCCCTCCCCCGTCCCTTTCCCTTTTTCCCTTTCTTCCCCGGTCGCCCCGTCGCCACTGGGTTTCCCGCCTTCGTTTCCTTATCGCCCTTTCGCGTTTTGGCGTCTTGGCGCCGTGCCCCGCCCCCCGCGCCTCACGCCAGCCTCGTCCGGTTGTCTTCTCTTGGCGCCGCGCCCCGGCGCTGCTTCTTCTCTCCGGTGGCCCCTGGTTTTTTCCGCGGTCCCCCGTCGCTCCTTTTCTGGCCCCCCTCTTGGTTCTTGGTCCCTCGGTCTCTTTGCGCTCCCTTGTCACCACTTCCCGCTTTCCATTGGCCTTTTTTCCGTTCCCGCTCTCCTTGTTCCTTTTCCCGCCCGTTGGCCTTTTGTCCTTTGTCTCTCCCCTTCCTCTGTTTCGTTCCCGTTCTTCCCTTTTCCCCCTCCGCCTCTCCTACTCCCCTTTCGGCCTTCTGTTTTCGTTCTTGCCCGGCCCTGTGCCCTACCCCTCCTCCTTCTTCTCGTTCCTTGTTCCCCTTCTTCTCTTCTTATTCCTCCTTGCGTTTCTCTTTTCCGTCCTTCTTTTTCGTTGGCCTGCCCTGCCCCCGCCCTTCCCCGTTTTCCCTTTTCGGCCCTCCTTTCCCCATCCGCTCGGCGTGCTTCTCCTGTTGTCCTTCCTGCCCCTGGGCTTTGCCCTATCCTTCCGCCTTCCGCCTTTGTGGCTCCCCCCCTCTCCCCCTTGGGCGCTCCCTCTCATTTCCCTCCTTGCCGGCGGGCCGCCTGCGTCGCTTTTCTCCGGCCCTCCCCGCGCCCCCATCGCGGTTTCCATTCCTCTCGGCCGCCCCACTGGCTTTCCCTGCCCCCCGTCCCTCCTCCCTGGCGTCGTCCCGCCGTGACCTTCCCCGCCTCTCCCGCCCTGGTCCCCCTTCCTGCCCCGTGCCCACTTCCGTTCTTCTTCCTCGCTCCGTCTCCTCTCTGCCGGAGTTGCCTTCCTTTTTAACATTTCCGCATTTTTGGTGGGCTCTCCGTCGCTTCTTCCCTGTTTCCCTCCCCTCGTTGCTGACTCGCGGACGCGTCCTGCGCTCCCGTTCCTTTTTTCCCGCGCCCCTGCCCCGCCGCCCCCGGCTCCCCGCGCGCGCTCTCCTTCTGCTTTCTCACGTCTCTGGTCCTCTGCTTTTCCGCCGTTTTCCCTTTTGTTCCCTCGTTCTGGTCCCGGCCGCCTCTGCTCTCTCCTTTTTTCTGCGTCCTCTCCCCTCTTTGTCCCGTCCCCTGCTGATCCACCTGTTTGCCGATGCTCAGTCTTCTCCGCTGCGGTGCCCCCCTGTTCTCGTTCTTCTGCCGCGTCCTTTTGCTTATGGTTTTTCGGGTTGTTTCTGGTGCTTCCCGCTGCTCGTTTTCCTGCCCTGCCGCAGATGCTCCCTGTCTGTCGCAGCCGTTCCCTCCTCCTCGGTGGCCCCCTTCCCTTTCGGCTTTTTCTACGTCTTTCCCATCTTTCCCCCCGTGGTTCTTCGCTCCGCCCCCCTCTCTTAGTGCCGCTGCCCCCTTCCTGGCCCCCTTGCTGTTTCGGGCTTGTTTTCCCCCCGCCCGTCCTCCTCCTTTTGCTTATCTCTGCCGGCCCCCCGTCCCCTTTGCGCCTTCCGCCCCTGTTCTGCTCCTTTTTGTCCCCCTCGCGCCCGTTCCCCGCCCCTCTCTTGAGCCCTGCGCCCGTTGGTTGTTGGGCTGGTCCCCTTGCTGCTGGTTCCCCCTTGCTCCCCTGTTGCGCGATCCTTGCGTTTCTGCGCCTGGCTTTCCCTGTCCCCCTCTCCTGCTGCTCATTTTTCGCATTGTTCGGGTTCCCTGCAACCTTCCTCCCCTTGGCCGCGTTGCCGGCCGGTGTCGGCTTCCGTTGGTTGATCCGGTGCTCCTGTTCTCCTCCCGTCCCCTTGCCTTATTGCCTATTTCTTAACACCTTCTCCCCCTCTGGCTGCCCTCTCTTCCTCCCCCTTGCCACTTCTCCTCTTTGTCTTCTTTCTGCTCTCCCTGCCCGGTCTTCCTGTGTGTGCCCCGCCGCGCGCCCCTGGCTGCTCATTTGATGTGGGCTGAGTCGCTGTCGCCTCCCCCCGTTAGCCCCTCCCCTCCCCGTCCTCTTACGTGGTTTTTCTTTTTTTCTAGTTTCTTTTCTCGGTTCCTTCCCCTCCGCTCTACACCTTTGCCCCCACTTCCCCCTGGTACTGCTTGGCCTGTCCCTCCCTCCTCTTTCCCTCCCTGCTCACCCTCTCCCTCTGCTCCCCTCGCCATTGCGTTTTATTGGTTCGTCTCTCTTCCTTCCTATTGGTCCTTTTCCTTTTTACTTTCCTTTTCCTTCCTTTTTCGTCTTTCTTCCCCCCTTCCCCCTTGCCCCGGCCCCCGCCCCTTCCGTGGGCCCCTGTGTTCTGTCCTGTCCCCCGCTCCTCTGTCCCGACCCCCCTCTGGCTCCTCCCCTGTCCTTGCTCTCCCCCCCCCCGCCTCCTTGCCTGCCGCCCCCCGCCCTCCCCCTTGCCGGGCCCCTCCGTCCCGCCCCCTCCCCTTGTTTCCCTTGGCCGCGCCCTCTCCGCCCCCCGCCCCCGCCCCCGTCCTCCCTCCCCTCTTCTTGGCCCCGCTCCCTCTCCCCGTTCCTCCCCCCCCCCCCCCCTTTTTGCCACCTTCCACCCTCCCCCCTCTTCCCCCCCATTCTTTGTGCGGCTCTGGTCCTTGGCTCGCTCCCCTCTCCTTTCCCTTTGCCCTCCCTTGTGTTCCGCCCCCTTTTTAGGCCCTTTTCTTATCTTCCTTTCTTCTGCTATCTTTCTTCTTCTTCCTTTCCCCGGCGACTCCCGCTGCCCCGGCCCCTCCGGCTTCCTTTCCCGTTGCCCCTCTTCCTTTTCTCAAGCGCTGTTTTTCTGTCCCTTCCTCTCTCTCCCCCCCCCCGGCGAGCGGCGCCCAGCGCGCGCTGCCTGGTCCCTTCCTGCCTTGGCTCCCGCCTCGGTTCCCCCTGTCCCGGAGCGGATTTTTTCCTTTTCCTCTTCTCGGGCGTCCTTCCTCCTCCTCCCCTCCTCCTCCTCCCCCTCCCGGGCCCCCTGTTCATATCACCCCCGGCTTCCCCTTTCCCTCTCTTTTCTCTCTCCCCTTTCCGCTCCGCCCCCCTCCGGGGGCCGCTTTGTTGCGGTCTTTTCCCGTTTTCCCGCCCTTGTGTTTTGTTTTGCTGCCCTTTGCGCTTTCCTGTCCCGCCTCTTGATGCGTGGGTTCCTGCCGGTTGCTTGGGGGCTTGGGCTTCGCGTGCGCTTGGCCCCGTAGCCCCCTTGTCTGTTGGGCCACTTTCCGTGCTTGTCCCTTCCGTGTGCTTTTTGTTGGCTTCCTGCCCTGCGGGCTTGGTGTTGTCTCGCCCGGCCCTGTTCTGCTTCCCCTTTGGGTGTGCCCGCTTTCTGTTTCGCCGCCCTCCCCCCTTTCCTTTTCTTTTTTGCCCCTTTTCCCTTTTTGTCCTTTTTGGGTCCGCCCTCGCCCCGTCTTCACCTCCCCTCCCCCTTCCCCTCCCCCCTGCTGCCTCGCCCGGCCCCCCCTCCTCGTTTCCCGCTGGTCATCTGTATCGCCCTTCTTCTTGGGCCGCGTCGTTCTTTCCGGCCCCGCTCCCCTTGGGCATTGTCGTCCCCGTATTAGTCTCTCTTTCTGGTCCTGACCCCTCCCCTTCCCACGCCCCCTCCCCCCCCGCTCGCTTCCTTGGCTTTGCTATGGGCCCCTGGGGGCGTGATCCGTCCAGCCTCGCCCCCCCCCGCGCCTCCCTGGTGCTTCCATTCCGTTTCCCCCCCTGCCGCACGCCTTGCCCTTGCCCGCCGCCCTCCCTCCCCCATTCTCCCCGCCCTTTTGGCGGTTCCGCGCTGCCGCCAGCCGTTGCTTCCTTCTGCACGCCCTCGCGCCTACGCTTCCCGTGTCCTGGATTCTCCCTCCCCCTTCGCCCCCCACTGCCCGCCCCCTTCCTCTCCCCTCTTCCCCCTGTAGTCCGTCCGTTCCCCCTCCCCCGCCCCCGCTACTGCCGTCGCGGGTCGCCGGGCCCGGCCGGCTCCTCCCCGCCCCTTCCTCTCCCCCCTGTTCTCCCGTTCGTCCCCGCCCTCCCTTTGGTGCCCCGACCCCCCCCTTATCGGCGAGTCGCCCTCTCCTTTTTTCTCTCCCTTGCTCTCTTGGCCCCTTTCTCCGCCCCGTTGGTCCGGCTGCCCAGCTTGTCCTGTTTTTCCTTCCTCTCCCGCCCCTGCTGCGTCCTTCCTTGTTGCCCCCCGCCTCCCCTCACGTCCCTGCCTTTTCCCTCTGCCCCCGACTCTGTTTTGCTTGCTCCTCCCCCCTTTGCCCTCTTGCCCGCCTCTCCCCCGCCTCCCTGTCCATTGTTAGCCCTCTTTCGTCTGAGTTCCCCTGGTCTCCTCCCTATTCCCCCTGGTCCCGGTCCGTCCCCCTACGCCTACGCCCCCTCCCCCCCTCCCCCCCCTCCCTCCGTTCCTCCGCCCTCTCCCGCTCTTGCCCCTCCGGTCTGCCCTCGTCGCCCTTCCCCCCGGTCTTGCGCGCGCCTGGCCCCCCTCTGTTCTCTTCCTCCGCCCCTTCGCCGCGGCCGCCGGCTTCCCTTTCCCGCCCTCTTTTCCCCTTGCCCCCTTCGTCCTCCTCTCCGCCGCCCTTTCGCCCGCCGCCTGCTCTCTCCTCATGTTCTCCGCTTGCGGCCGCCTTGTCCCTATGTCTGCCCGTGCCCCTTCCACTGGCCGCGCCGGCCTCGGCCGCCTTCCTCCCCGCTTTCTTAGCTTGGGCCCCTCTCCTCTCCGTCTCGCCTCCACCCCGCCGGCCTTCCTTCCCCCCGCGCACCTCGGCTTCTCCTGCGTCGCCGCCCCGGCGTTTTCCCTTTCCGTCGGTTTTTTCCCGTTCCTTTCGCCTTCCATTTTGCCTGCCCCTCTCGGTGCCGCCGCCCCTGCGCTTGCCATTTTTTGTTCCGTGCACTGCCCTGGCGTCTGCTCTCTGCCCTGCCGCCCTCGCCCTTTTTTGCTCTCTTTGCGGGCGGCGCTCACCGGCCTTTCCAGAGAAAGATCGCCTGCCCTTCTGCGCGCCCTCTCTGGCGCGCCCTTGGCTCAGTTTTTTGGCGGGTGGCCCCCCCGTCGGTCCTTTCGGCACCCTTCAGTTCCCCGGCCTGGATTCCCTGCCATGCCCCCCTGACTCCTCCCTGCCTCTCATCTTTTTACCCGGCTGCCTCCCCCGTTCCCCCGCTTTTCCGGGCGTTTTGGTTCCTGGCCCTCCTCCCATCCCTTGCTTCCCCACTCTCCCCTCCATCTTCCTCCTCCGCTCCCCGCCCTGTGCCCATTCTCTCCGCCCTTCGCGGGTCTTTCCCTTACCTTCCCTCCCTCCCCCCCTCCTGCGCCGTTTCTCTGCTCATTCTCTGGCCAGTTCCCTCCCTTGCCCTCCCCCTCGGCCTTTTCTCTTCCCCCGTCCCCTTCTCGACCCCCGCCGCCCCCACCGCCCCCATTTGCTTTCCCCCGTCCCCTTCTCTTCTTGCCCTTGCCCCCTGCACTTCCCCTCTTGCCCTTGCCCCCGTGAGTCCCTCGCGCCTCCTTCCCCCTCCCCCCTCGGTTGTCACCTCCCCTTCTTCCGCCGTTGCCCGCTGCCCCCCCTTTCCCCGGCGCCCCGCTCTCCGGTCGTCTTCTCAGCCCGCGCCGCCCCCCTGCTCTGGTCTCGGCTCTGTGTTGCGTCTGCCGGATACATCCCGCCTCCCCCCTATCCGTCTCACTGCCCCTCCTGGTTCCGCCCCTTCGGGACGGTTCTCCCTTTGGCCTCCCGTCCCCCGTCACCCTTTGCCTTGGTCGGAAGGCCTCGCCCGCCCGGGCCCTCGCTTCCCCCCGCCCGCGCCCTTTGTCTCTTTCTCCTTGTCTTTGCACGGTCCCCGGTCGGCTTCCCGCGCCGCCCCCGGTCGTCGCGCCCGGCGTTGCCCCGCGCCGGTGTCGACTCCCCCCCCCGCCGTCGCCCCTTTGGCGCCGCGCTGCCCCGGCCCCGTGCGGCTCTCCCTCGCCCGCCGGGCCCCGGGCGGCTGCCCCTGGTGGCTCCGTGGCGCCCTGCCGCCCGGCGGCCTCCTGTCCCCGCCCGGCGGCTCTCCCCTCCCCGTCGCTCCCGTGTCGCGGCCTTTTGGCCGCTCGCTCGGTTGTTGTTCGCGCCTCCCGCCCGCCGTCCGTCGTCCTCCGCGCCCCCCCGTCGCTTGTCCTTCGGGCCTTCCCGTGCTCCCTCCCGCTCTTTCCTTGCTTTCCTTGGTCTCGTGTTTTCTCTCTTGCTTCCGTTCCTTCGCCGTCTCCTTTTGGCGCCGTCTGTGGGGCCCGTGCCCGCCCCCCCGTCTTGCCGCGCCCCCGCTCCCCCTCTCGCCCTGTCTCCGTGGCCCCCCCCCTTTGCCGCCGCCGCCCGGCGGCTCGCGCGCTCGCTCCCCCCCTCTGCTCCCCCCCCCCGGGTCCGCCCGCTGGCCCTCCCCCTCCCCTCTCCCCCCCCTCCCTCCCCTCCCTCCCGCCGCCCCGCCCCGGTGGCCTTCCCTCCCCCGGGCTCCCCCCTCCCCCGCCTGCGCCCTCCCGCCGCCGCCGCTGCTGTCTCCCGCCCCGTCCCGTCCCCGGTCCCCCTCCCCCTCCTGGGTCTTGGCCCGGCCCCCCGCTGTGCTCCCCTCCCGCGTTGGTTCTCCCCCCTCTCCGCCTGCCTCTCCCGCTCCCGCCGCCCCTCCCGTCCCCCCGCCGCCGCCCCGTCGCGCGCCGCGTCCGTCCCCCTCCCGGGCTCGCCGCTCGGCTCTTCGCGGTTGGGGTCGGGGGTGCTGCTGCGCTGGCGGCCCCCGCTCCGGCCCGTCCCGCGCGGCCCCTGCCGCCGTTGCCCGCGCGGTCGCTTTTGGCCGTCGTCCGCCCCCGCGCTGCGCCCGCGTTGGCCCCCCCGCCCCGCCTCGCGGGCCGCGCGGCCGTCCCCCTGCCGGCACGTCTTCCGCCCGCGGCTTCCTCCGGGTCTCGCGGGTCGCGCTCTCCCCGCCGGCGCCGCGCTCGGCTCCCGCCCCCGCCGCTCCGCCGCCGCGCTCCCCGCCCCCCGCGGCTTGCTCTCCCCCTCCCGGCGGCCGTTGCGCCGCTCCGGCCTGCGTCCCCTGCCCCCCCCCGGTCGCCCCTCGCCCCTCCCCCGCCGCCTTTCCCCGCCGCGGTCCTGGCTCCGCCTTCCCCGCTCGCCTTCCCGGTCTCTGGGCGCGCCGCGTTCTGCCGGCCGGCCGCTCCTGCGGCTCCCGTGCCTGCTTTTTTCCGCCCTCTGCTGCTGCC